TAATAATAACTATCCATGTCTTTGATACAGCACCTTATCACATCTTCGAGGTGTCTCCAAGCGCTTCACAGAATATACTGCAAAGCGAGTTGACTGCATATTTTGTGGGCGAAACGCGGCAGCCAATTGCACACAGCAGCGTCCCACAAACAGTCGTGGATTGAGTGACCAAATTATTGTTATTTATTGGATTTTTTTTATTGGATTATTACCACCGGAAAAGCCATCCGCCAATCGACTAACAACCGGGTTCCTACTTACTGCTGGTAAACAGAAGCGTGAGGATTAAGGAAACTCGCTGAACATTTCGCCCTGCTTGGGAATCAAACCCAAGTCCTCTCGCTTGCGAGGCGAGTGCTCTAACCAATGTTCTAGAGGACTCCACACCTCATCTGATGGATGGTATGCTCAGCAATGGAGCGCTGCATTGGTGTGTCAGCTTAGACTGTGAGCTCACAGTCCTTGTGTGAGGCTTGAACCTGCAACTTTCTGACTCAGAGGTGAGTTACCAGCTGAGCCACGCTGACATTGCCATATCCAACAGCATTTGTTTATCCAAGGCTTTGTGGGTCCATTTTAATCTATTGTAAGCATCTGCGGTGCATTTTCACTGTACAGAAACCGTTGCTATGGCTGTCTGGCCTCAACACGTCCTCTTGTATTTGTCTTGAACACTTTGTACCATAAAAACATTGTGTACACAGAGAGCCATCAGGAAATCAGTTGCTTTTTAAAAAAATTCCTAGGATATTTGCATTTTAAGATAACGCCTTGTTTACTCTAAAAAGTTTGGTTGGAATCATTATTTACCACCTCATTTCCATTTAATGTTGACACTACAAGTTAATTGCAGAATACATTACCATGTTTACAGAGGTCCCGTGCTAAATCATGCAGCCCGCAGTGGACATTAGTACAGTTAACTGCTTATTTGCCATTCACGCAATTATTCTCTGCATCTCCTGTTATTGGTAGCATCCATGCATTTACAATTCCCCCTCTACCACTTTTCACAAAATTCTTTCTGAATGATAAAGTAGAACAAATGTATTTTTTAACAAGCCGCCTGAATGATCAGCTTCAACAACAAGTGATATTTACACAGCGCCTTTCACCTCAGGAGGACTTCCCTGGACAGTCAGGGCTTTGGACCCGAGTTGGGGGTTGGGATCGGGGTGGGGGAAGGGCAGGGAGAGTAGTGGTTGGAGGGTGGCCGAATGGATGGTCCAAGAGGAGGGGGCTTGAGATGTGCTTTGAAGGAGGCAAAGGAGGGAGTGAGGTGAAGGGACTGTGGGATGGAGTTCCAAAGGGTGGAGACAGAGAAGCTGAAGGCCCGACCACCAGGCAGAGAAGGAACAAGATTTTTTGCCAAACTTGGTGGGAGTCATTGGGAGGCAAACTCGGTGGGAGGATAGAATATTTCTATCTTTTCTTTTTGCTGACCCTGTAGAAGTTCTTAAATGTCAAAGGCATTTACGAAACTGTGTTGTTCTGGTAGGAATATGCTGGATCTGGGCTGGAGGCCATTTTCTACTGATTGGAGAACAAAGAGCACTGTCAGCAGGAATTTTTGGCTTTGCTAACGCACATTCTTGTTGGGTAAACTGGGCCAACATTTCAGGCTTTAAAGCTTGGGAGAGCCCACTATTTTTTCACAATAGCCACGCTCTTGCACTTGTTAATTGTAGATCACAACTGTTGCGAGAATCATTTGCCACAAATTAAGGAAAATGAAGTCAGCAGTAAGCAGCTGTCATATTTGTTGGGAGGTCCTATTTGTAGGCTGGGATTTTCTGGTTTTCAAGGTAAAAACTCTTAAAGGCAATGACCCATTAAATGTTCCAATTCTGTTCAGCTGTGATCATTTTTCCTCTTATTTTTTCTCTTGTTGTCTGCGTCTCAATGAGAATGTTTTCCTAAATACCAAAAGAAAAGGAAACTCTCTGTGATTTTTTTTTGACACTTGATAGTTTAAAATAAATCCATTCAAAGCCACAACCATCCAATAAAGATTTAAAGTAAAGCAGCCTGGATAGAACAGCTACACAGCTCCAGCCTAAATAGCTCAAGGTCATGTTTGCAATATACGGATTCTGCAAAAGCAGAAATGCCCATTGGAACACATTTCATATTCAAATAATAATAATAATAATCCTTGCATTTGATATAGTGACTTATCATGTCTTCGAGACGTCTAAAAGCCCTTCACAGGATATACTGTAAAGTGAACTGACAGTATTTTTGGGGTGAAACGCGGCAGCCAATTGCGCTCAGCAGTGTCCCGCGAAAATCTCGTGAATTGAGTTAACAGTTTATTTCTTTATTTTCTTCCTTGAAAATCAATCTACCAATCAACTAACAACCAGGTTCCTACTTACTGCTAGAGGAGTAACATGCCTAAGGTTTTGCCCCACCTGGGAATTGAACCCAGGTCCTTGCCCCCTCCCTTGCCTGCTTTAAGACCCATCTCAAGACCCTCCTCTTCGACCGTGCCTTTGTTCACCCTCCTTCACCCCCTGCTCTCCACCCGTCCCGATCCCGAGCCCCAGCTCAGGTCTGAAACACTAATTGTCCAGCGCCTTAGGAAGTCCTCCCAATGCTATACAAGTCTAGTTTTGTTTTTGCTGTCGTTGTTGTCCTCTCGCTTGCTACAGGGCTCCACAAGCACTTTGCTGCGGGACACCTCATTAACTTAAACATATTGGTAAGTTTATTCCCAATTCTGCTATTTAGTTGGCATTTGATGGTTGTTTTTTCTCAAAGCCTCTGACGGTGTTTAATGGACAATACAGTGCTGTACTTGTAAGAAGCAGATTTGATTAGTAAATAGTTTGGCTCATAGGAATGTGACATATCTTCTTTGCGGTGTGCAGGTAAAAGTTTACGAGAAGCTGCATAACTGGAATCTCAACCACCACCGAAGCTTAAATGTGTGAGGTGTTGATGTGCCAGTTTTGTTCTCGCTACATGGAAGGGATTTGATTCGGCGACTCTTGAGAGGAATTGCTGGAAAGCAAAGAGTGCCATTCACTCATACCTATTAAGTGACTGGATCTTGCTGCTCTTCTGGTTTAGGAGGACACATGTACAGATAAGACGGGGGCGCAAGGAATTATATGGGAGCGAGATAACGAAATGAGCAGAAAATTTGCTTTGTTTTTATCATTGTCTGTGGGCTTGCCACAGTCAATTACCGTTTCTCATGCTACTTTTAATCTATAATTGTTACCAAACTACCACTATTCCTGGCAGAAATGAGCAAATCCTGTGTCTTGGGATCTGTACACACAATGGGATATGCATCACTAGAATGCCTGTTGCAAATGTAGGAAATTTTGTCTCAAGTACCTGAGAAAATTGGCACAGGGTTGTTCAATGCATCAAAGGGATATTAAAGCGGATCTGAGACAAACATTACTTCTTTGAATCGGAATAATGTATGCTTAGCATTTGTCATTGAAACGATCAAAGACTTTGAACCTGCACGTACCAGTTTTGGATTGTGTAGGTGTGAGCTGCAATAAAAGATTCCAGCTGTGTGTTCTGCTTTGAATGGTGGAGCAATCAGATAGTTATTAAGAGGTCCGGGCTTTCTCTTGAAATCAATCGACCACCAGTTATTGTGGGAACATTAAATGCTTGAACTTTGCGGTGGATCACTGCCAAGTGCTCATTTTGCTGATGGTTAACATACTGACAACACGTTGCTGGGATGTTAACATCAAGGTTTGCAGTGCAGTAAGGACCAGGAAATATGTTGGTACAAGTTCATTTGCTTCATTGACAGCACGTCCTGACTGACAACCTTCAGCACTTGGTCAGTAATCACATCCGATTCCTACTCCACCTTTATTAATAGACACCTCGTTAGTTTTCGGGTGGACCATTTTACTGCTCTCTATGTAGTGCAGTAACTTGCATTACTGGCTGTTCCATGGCATTGACAGGATTATATTAACATTGCTGGCAACCTCTGGAGGTGTGAGAACTGCAATCAGGTCTTCAGCTCTTCCATCTCTGAAGCTGTTTAAAAATCCAGTAATTCAGGCTATTTCAGCCCACATTTAAATCCTCAATTCATTATAGCCCACTTTAATAGCTCCTGGATGAGTAGTAGAGGGTAGAGTTATAAAGATGGGACAGACCAGTGAATTATTTTTCCAAATGCAGTACCATTACTGATTCATTGGGTATTAATACTGTGTTGCATCTGAAACCTGTAATGTACTGTGAGGTGCCTGAGTATGTGTATGTGTGTATTAAACAATGAAAGCTGTTTGATTGAGATAGAAGACTACAATTTAATCCAGAGGTGCAGGCGATGGATTTCAATCATCTCAATCCAGATGTTAGGATACAGTTTTGAACCCACTTGATGGAATTTTATTCATTTATCAAGTATGCGTTCGTGTTTTTAAAGTTGAATCCAGTCTTTCAGAACCAGTGCTATGATGAACTTGAGAAGCCTTTGCCTCCTTTTTAACGGCATCACAAAGTACCATTGCCATCAAATGCACCGCTTTATATCACAGGGAAAATCGATGTTTGGAATCTATTATTGTAGAATAAAGTCTTCTTTTGGATGCAGTTGTGACGGTAATAGAGAGAGATGGTAATGCATATTAAGCAGTGTAAGCATCTTTGTATTTCAAATCAGGCTGGAGGGTGAGAGAAGTTATCGCTCTGTGTTTCATGAGCACTGTTCCTTCCTTCTCGTTTGAGAATTTTAATTTAAGAAAAAGCACTTCAGCTTGTATTTGTCTCAGAGTGCTTTATTTTATTACACGCCTGGGAAAGATGTCTATGATCTACAAATTTATAAAACAGTGCAAAGCGCTCTGACACTCACCCTCACGTGAAGGGTGCTATATAAATGTAAGTTGTTGTTGTTGTTACAGGCTGTTACATGGTAAACATTTAACTTGGTAACTGATTCAGTTGGCCACTGAAAACGTATCGAATAATTTTAATTTCCTTTTGGTCTTAATCTTTGCCAATAGGTGACGAAATGGCCTATCGGAAAGTGGATCAGAAATTTTCACTGCGCACCCACGATGTGGAGCCTGACGAACTTCCGATTGCTTCTCTGGAGTTGGAGTGGGACATGGAGAAGGAGCTGGAGGAGAGTGCGTTTGATGACTTTGGACTGGAGGATTCGAGCCAACCCCATGTGAGCAACTCCACTCAGAATACCGATCTCGACATGGAATTTATCCAACCTTCTACATCCCCTCGGGGCAGGTTCGAACGTCTTCAAGAGGAAGCCAGTTACCACACAGCACATCATCTGAGACAAGGACCAAACCATCAACCCAGCAGCTTTTATAAGAAAGCCAAACTCTTTACTGCAGCAATTGCAATATTTATATGTGGTCTTCTGATCGGTTACTATGGACGTAAAGTTAGTACAATGAAAAAGTTGCCAAATAATGGAACAGCACCGAGTCCGACTCCATCTACAAGCACTGTTCCACCTGATGACAACACTGTCCTCCAGGAAATTGTTCAGGAAATCGGAGCTGAGAGCATCAAAATACTTTTCAGGTTAGTGAAATTGCAATACAATTCAATACAATGACAACCTATGTGTGGTCTTTGCTGGTTAGACTCCAGCAGTTACCCCAACGCACACTCTGGGGTCCCCAAGCCTCGGCACTTGCCAATCTGCGCCTAATACTCTCTGGAATTAGGTAAACAGAATGCGTCCCTCCAGGGGGGGAGAGAGAGAGAGAGTGAGCGCATTCCATTCCAACAATCTCTCTCTGGGATTTCCATGTGTGTGTGGGTTACATGCAAACCTCAGCTTGGTTTGGAGACTCTTAAACAACGGTGATGGGTTTCCACATGTGTCAGACACCCGGCTGAACAAAAAAACAACAAAAAAAACAATACATTTACATTTATATAGCGCTTTCCACATTGGGAGGGTATCCCAAGGTGCAAAACAGTCAGTTTTAAGATTGCCTTGTTACATTTCCTTGGACTATTGTCCCCCATTGATTTAAAAAAAACTTTTGGTTTTTAATTCTCTTATCCTTGTCATCCTGAAATAATATTATCTGATTTATCTTCTTTACTTATCTGTAAGTTATATTCTATAGGACATTTTTATACAGATGTAGTACATAATGTGCATATATACACTGTGTGTGTGTAGGTGTGTGTGTGAGTGAGTGTAGGTGTAGGTGTGTGTGTGTAGGTGTGTGTGTGTGGGTGTGTGTGATTGTGTATAATTGCTCATTTTGACCATATGTAAGACATATTCAGGAATAAGCAATCGATCTTAAAATTGTTAAGGCAACAGCTAATTTTCAGAGAGTAGAGAAACAGAAGCTCGGAACCTCAACACGTGCCTTATCACAACAACAGGTTACAGAAGGGGAAGCACTGAAGGCTGAAGTATGATTAATTGATGCCGGTGACATGACTGCAAAACGTACATGTCACAACAGCTCTTTGTCAAGGGATGCAAAGCTTCATGACGAGGGGAAGCACCTCTTTGCTGGCAGGTCCACGCTCATTTACAAAGTAAACAAATCATAGGTTCAAAACACTTTGTGCTGAGTCAGACACTCGCTTGCTTCACTTGGTCTGTAAATGGGGGAAGCACACAAGCAGAAAAGACCTTTGTGGTCCATCTAGCCGGTGCCATTAATGGGGGAACAATAATGCAGCATTACACCATTGTAGCTCTCTCACTGATCGATCGATTATTTCTTTGCTCCATCGCTCTTGAATTTGCTAACGGTTTCTGCCTCCACCTCCTCCCTAGATAGTGTCTGCTCTACATTTTCACCAAGCTTTTATAGTCGGACGTTAGAATCAATGTGTCTTTATTTTGAAGCAAATTCCTAAAGAACCGAATACCTTTTAATACCTTTAAAAGGTTATTATACCGAACCTTTTAATGCTGCAATGTTCTACTATCATCGTATCTGTTGTGCACATTCCTCAGTGGATTTCCTTACATCTCGCACAAAATAATCACCAGCGCTATTCAATATGAGATATCTTATGTTAGAAATATACTTTTCTCAGGTTCCACATTTTCTCTCAAGACGTGACAAACAATACAATTTACATGAATACAGTGTCTTTCACCTCAGGCAGATGTCTCAAAGCGCTTCACACAGCACCCGAGCTGTCGTGGGGGGTGAAGAGGGGAACTGAGACGGGTGGGGAAGGGAAGATGACCAAAACCATGGTTGAAGAAGTCATCTTAAAGCAGGCTTTAAAAGTGTGTGTGTGGGGCGGGGGTTCGGGGGTTGGGGGGGGGAGGGGGTGGGCGCAGGAGGCGAAGTGAAGAGACTCTGGGATGGAGTTCCAGAGAGTGTGTCATTTTTTTTTGTGTGGTGTTTAAGCTCTGAGCTGCCAAACATATCCTGTCACCTTCTGTGAGTGATCAGAGATGTTCCTATCTTCTTTTGTACAGTACATTCTGTGCTATGTGACTTTGTGCCTCCCAGTCCTGCACAGAATTTTGATTGCAAGTCATATATCTCCACATAGAACAAACGCTCTGTGGAATTTTTTTTAGTAGAATAGAAGAGCACAACTCCTGGCTGGAGTCACCTGCAGGGCATCGCAAACCTAAGCAGCAATCACATCTCCTTGGTTGAATAGTGCATTATGTATTATGTCGTATTACACGATTCCAGGGGTTTGGCAGTCGAACAGACTTGTCTCGTGAGTCAGGGCCTGACTGGTATAATTCCATCCCCATACCCCCCGACCCCATCCTTCCCTCCAACAAATCACTCGTTCCTTTTCTCACACCACTTCTTGTTAAAAGGCCATGTGGAGCCAGGGGCCTCCAACTTGTTTTATCCATAAAGTACTGGAATAATGATTAGTGAACCACAGAAAACATGGCAGAAGTAATTCCATCAATGGAATCTCCAACTGACTAACTCAGTCAATCAATATCCTCCAACCAACTGCTTACATTAAACTGTTCATTTCCCAAGTAGCCAACCGTGCATACGGCTGTTCATATCTGGTACTTTTGCTTATTTGGTAGATTTCTTTTCAACAATTCTTGGATTTCATATAGCACCTTATCTTCACTTCAAGATGTCTCAAAGCGCTTCGCAGAACATACTATAAAGTGTAGTGACTGTATATTTTGTGGGTAAAACGGGGCAGCCAATTGTGCACGGCAGCGTCCCACAAACAGTTGTGGATTGAGAGACCAAATTAATATTATTATTAATATTATTTTGCTCTCTTTGAGCTTTGCTTTCCTAAAGTACACAATTGCCATTATTTGATTTTGTCCGTACTCATGGTGTGTCTAACAAACTGCCATTTTAAAGGATAAATAGTATGCAAATTTAGATTAAAAATAAGATTTTTTTATACTTGCTGTAGAAAAGGTGTGGAAAACATCAACAAGTGTAAAGTTCTGAACTGTGAAGGCAGATTAGGGAAATTTTGAGCTTTAAGATCTGGAAAGAAGGCAGTTAAGGAGGGATTTCATTGAAGTATATCAAATATTAAATAATGTAATAAACCCAGGACTATTTCTTCAAAGCAAGGCAAAAAAATCAGTGTCACCAGTGGATAGAAGTGGAAATTGTAAAAGGTTAATTTAGTACAGATATGTGCGCTGTGGTCCAAGAGTCCTATCTATGAAGGGGAACTTAAGAGTTCCTAGTATAGGGAACCATTGCCTGCAATTCTGACAAATATAATAATAATATAATAACCTTTGCATTTGATATAGCCCCTTATCATGTCTTCGAGACGTCTCAAAGCGAGATATACTGTAAAGAGCAGTGACCATGTGTTTTATGTTTGCAATTTGCGTCAGCCATTTGTGCACAGCAGCGTCCCCACCAACAGTTCCCATCTATTCACTCCGTTGCTTTTGTGACTGAAACCTTGCAGCTTGTTCACGTGCCTGATGTCGGGTTATCTCAGATCGATGGCGCTGCTCATCTATTTGTACTGTTCCGCGGGAGATAGAGCATTGGCTTTTTAGTTTCTTAATCTCCATTCTTTAGTGCCGGGGACCAGTCGATATCTCCGCAGGCAAGTTCAGCTCTTGTGTTACTGTGAAGTGTTGTCCTTAGAAGGCAGTGCCGCAGTGAAGCACCCATATTGTGAACCCTAAAATACCAGTGGCAGTATTCCCTTTGATCTTCCAGACATTCACTTTGCACATCTTAATGGCCAGACAGTGGGGGAAAGAGATCAATCACGTGTGAGTGACGGTTTGAGGGTTGTAACTTGTTTCAGAGGTTGAGTCGGAAGGCAAAAAGGGGGTGAAAAGACAAGTCGAAGAGATCAGTGCAATAGCTTGGAACGTAAACAGAATGAGAAGTTCTCAGGTCTTCTCTTTCACGTGCAGACTGCCTTTTTGTCTTTGTCTCTGTGCCACCGCACCTTAACAGAGCAGAATTTGAGCCAAACTACCTGTGGGAAAGAATGTAAGATGCTGTGACTTTTTTTTCACACAGTCTCTCTTTATAATTATTACCAAATGTGTTGCTTTTTTTTCCCCCGATTGCATCCTGAAATGACGAAAAGGGGGATATTTATAAATGGAAAGGCTCTCTCGGTTCAATTTGCAGTCTATCGCCATGTGCCAGTCTTCTTATAATAATCTTTGCATTTGTTACAGTGCTTTAACATCGAGTTGCCATCCGGCGTGGAGGGCGCTATATAAATACAAGTTGTTGTTGTTGTTTAACACGTTGTCGAGATGTCCCAAAACAAAATGCTTCACCGGAGTTTTTTTTTATTGTGAAGCGTATTTGTGGGGGCAACATGGCAGCTAATTTGCACACCGCCATGAAATCAATGACCAGTTTTTCTCCCGGAGCATTGTTGGCCAGGATACCGGGAGAGAGAAATTCCCTTCTCTTTTCGAGTCGAGTCGCGTGATCTTTATCGTCTACCCGATCAGGCAAACGGGACCTCGGTTTAACGACTCATCTGGATGATGGCATCTCTGATGATGAGGCGTTAGGCAAACACCTAGCATTGTGTTGGTACGTCACCTTTAGACTGTGAGCTCGGAGGTCAGAGTGCTATCAACTGAGCCAGAGCAATCTTTCAAGGAACAGCCTCATTTGATTCGGTGGAGAGGAAAAACAAAAGCAGATTGATTTAAAACGTATCGGCTTGGTTTAGAGACATGGAGCAAGTTGATTCCGAGCTGTAACTTACTCAGGAGTAAGATTGGATTGAGTCGGGTTTCATGGGTGAAATGAAGAGTGACGAGGAATGTTGTATGACCCATGTCTTCAACGAGCTGAAAGGAATGGGTAAGGCGGAGGTGCACAGACTATTTAACTTAGACACTGAACTCCTTACTGGAAAGAACAAGTATCAAATGACCCTGAGTGGCTGGACTGGATGAGACAAATAGAAAACAAACAAGTCTAAAATGAGTCTGGAGATAAGAGAAATTTGTTTCCCAGAAAATAGTGATTTGTGGAACAGACTTCCAATGACATCAGTTTACACTGTGAAGACCATTAAATCTGACTTCTAAAAAACATCCAGAAAACACCATCAGGATTGAAGGTTACAAGTAT